AAATAAGAAGTTTGTAAAATAAGAAATTTTAATAGGTAGATGACAAACAATGCATACTTTTATCTCACAAGTAACGGAAACGTCAGGGGTATAATAAAGAAGCGAGTCGTATATGAAAAGTGTATATTATTTTATCTGACAATTGCCTATCAACTTAAAAATACGGCAGAACACTTGCACTAAAAGAAGGCGTACAAATGTATACCGCTTATTGACGCTACTCGTAGCCAATGTCGCTACCATATTAGCCTTCTCCACCCTTTCGAGCACATTAACTTTAAACCTATCCCTCTACCTGTAAGGCGAAATGCCACCAATTGCCAGATAAAAAAAATTGCTGTGTAAAATGTATATAGAAACATAATTTATCTTATAAAGTAATATTTTTAAAATAAACACCATTGTTACAAAGAAGTTTTTTGTTACAGAAGATGTTTGTATCCACTTGGCTTTGTTATAAAGAAAACTGTTGATTACTAACTTCAAGAGATCAAAGAGAACTGTAAAAATGCTATCTTATATAGTTGCAGTTGCATTCATTGTAATGAAAATACTTTAACAATTTTATATTTATCATAATTCATTATAATATAATTTATTTTCTTGAGATAGGAACATCCTAAATATAAAGATTGTTACTCTTTATTGGGAACAATAAGTTTTACAGACACGTACGCACTGTAAAATTCAGTTATTTTGTTTTTATTCATTCAGTTTCTCGATTCGATTGAAAAAAAGAATGTCCTTAATTGTCCACAGAAACAGATAAAGTAAAATAAGAATAAAACTATACCCTCATTCGCCATAAGTTCGTGTGGAGCGCCAAGTTCACATCGATTTTTTGATAAAAAACGTTAAAAGTAACTCCCAGACTCTTAAATGTCAGTAAAACTTTCACAAGTCGTTAAATGACTTTTAGATGCGTACTTTAATTTTCTTGTATCATCATGTGTCATAAAACTATTTCGTCCACAACGCTGAAACATGATGGTTATAACTAGAAAAGTTATTTTGGTGATGTAGTCTTAGATGTTACATGTTTCATGTTATATTAGGCTTGGTTTATACTGAAATACCTAGTAATAACATTTCTGAGGTTCATTAATAATATCTTACACGATACCCAATACAATTTTGTCTTAAAACTTTTTGTAACCATCTGTCCCAAATTTTATTTGCTGGCTCTTTGAAGTGGACTTGTGAAATAGGAAATACGAAAGTGGATCGGTCCCATCAAAATCTACATAAATCTTTTCATCCTTATACTTTGTTTTTTTATTTACTCCATGTTAAGGAATTTCATTAGAAATTAGTTTATTGTTAAAATCACTCAAGGAAAACTTTTCCTTAAGTGAATATATGAGGAAGCTTAATTTTATTGAATTAAAAACTTGTACATGAAATTGAATTAAAATTCAAATAGAAAGTTAGGGATAAGAAATTCAACGTCCGACTATTAACCTAACATTACTTTATTATTAAAAACTTTAGTATTATAGTTGCATACTCACCAAGGTTTTTAAGTATTTTTAATAAGGAGAATTGTAACAGCCGGAGTGAACAGTCATAAAAAATAAAAAGAACCTAGAGACCGTTATTAATTTTTCCTCTTCAATATTTCACTTCACCTTCGCAGGTAAAATCTAGGGACGAAATATTGTTTGTCATTTTTATTATAAAATATATATTATTCTAGCTGTTTACTGACGCCTTCACAGTCCCTTAGATAACGTCCGATGAGAAAATTTTCAGTTAACGTTAAAATGTTGAAATTGATCTGTCAATTTTATTTCAATTATCTTTGATATATTTTTTTAATTTTACCTTTATTCTTGCAATGTAAGATTTATATTTACCTATAATGCATCTATACCAATATACATATATATTTTATGTACGAATAATAATCTTTCATTTGTTAATTGAAATTTCATGTTAGCCTTCAAAAATAAATGGACCAAAGTTAATCTGTTGAGGCTGATACGAAAATAAAATATGAATTAATATGTATGGATATATTAATTAATTATATAAATATCTTAGTTGAATCACGTTAACAAATTAAATACGTCATTGTTATTATACTGACGTGCCTCAAAGGTAGTGAGCAGTCGATTCTGTCGCGGACAGCTATATTTTACTCCACATTTATTCACCCTCGTAATGAGTCGGGTATATTATATTTATAAGGGTTTCAGGGCCATTTGATATCCGTTGATTAAAAAGGGCTCTTTCATTAATTACTTAAAGGTTTTAAAAATATTGCTCGGTTACGAATCAATATCAGAAAATAAATGTTTAAACATTAAAACGAGTAGCAATCCATTAACTTATAAATTATATATTCTGATTGAAATGCTCGTGTATTTTAACTTCGTCAAATCATTTTTAAAATTTCGATATTGTAATATATTTAATAATACCCAGGATTTCTTTTAGGAAAATTAATAAAGCGAAACCTGGCCGCGGATGTTTGGTTTTTACCAGTAATTATCCAGAGAGCTTGTACGTTGAATATTGTTCCGAAATAATTTGCTAATTGATAAAAGAGTTTGTGTAAAATGTAAATGATATTGCATCAAAAATGGTAAACCTCGCTCTTTAATGTGAAGTTTAAAATAAATATTATAATAATAGAATAGAATTTCGTTAAAGTGGCTCATACACACTAAACAAACTTAAATTTCCATAATGTTTTAGTTCCATTATATTTTGTGGTTCTTACCACTAATTCAATCTAAAATTATATCATACCTTTGTAATGAAATTAATTTTGAAAGTTTATATAAAAATTCTCAGATAAAATCTCTAAATTTATGTGATGTGTACATTTTTATATTTTGCATATTTCTGAACTCAATGTAAGTTTTAAAGCCAAAGTTTCATATGTAAAAGTCAGAAAATAACTTAATGTTTAACTTCTTTAACTTAAAATTTTGTACGCCAGCTTAATTATACATCCACTGGCAAGAAAATTAGGTTAACTGCATATTTTCAGCTGCGGTTTTCTTATATGAAGATTAGAATTTAATGAGAAGGTAAGCCATATTTTAAGTATACGTAATAATCTATATAATACGGATATATTAACAGAGTAAGTATTATTATTATTTTGTCAATAAAAAAATATATGATTAGTTACCAATATTTAAAACATGGGACTATTTTTCTATGAAAGTGCTGAAACACAACGTCAAAACTTTTTACACAGTCCTAGCAATGTTCAAAGTTTCGTAAAAACAATCTTTTATGCTGGATATGTGAATGTGTGCGTAAATGAAATTCTAAATTGAAAAGTTGTAATGCAGAGTTTTGTGCGAATGTTTTTTGTTTATTTTAACAAGTGCTTTATCTACAGAGTTATTTGAGTCGTAATAATTGCATGACATATGATATTTCATTTTAAAATTCGTTGTGTTGGTAAAGTCACATACTATCTAGCTGCTTCTGACCTCCTTATTTGCGTAATTGATACACATAATGACCTATAAATCCTTTACCTCCTTACCAAATAAACTCCTACAAACCCTTGTAATTTACCAAATTGCAAAATACATTCTTGTAATTCTTTTTTGAAAGTAATAATTTCTAAGATTTGCACGTGTAAATATTTCGGATCCATTAAAAGCAAGCAAAGCTATATTTTTCACATATGACTCGCTTTTTTCATTTTACATTCTACTTGATGTTCTGGTTACTTTACTGTTACCGTGATCAAGGGAAGATAAGATGTCTAGAGACATGAAAGGCTAAAATGTAAAATATATTTTTATTCTCTTGACATTCTCTTGTTTAAAGTTTAATATTTCAAGACTAGTTTTTATAAAGTAATGTATACCTATGAAATAGTTTTATACAATTATTTCTATGTGATTTATTTCACCTTGCCTTACAAAGACAGACAAAATATGGCGTAGAAGAATATATAAAAGAATAAAGTTGTTTTTAATTATGTTTAATTAATATCAATAATTTAAAATTTATTACATCTGTACGTACGTATATTTGAAAAACTAGACTACCAATTTATTGATAAAAACATTGTAACAGATGCTTCTATCTGATTCTACATTACAAATTCATTATAACTTTATATGAATCAAAGTGGTTACTCCTCATTGTTGTCGAATATATTATAAACCAAAAGTCCACACTCCAGTACAATAGAGATTTCTATATCTTTCCCAGAAACTATAATTTTCATAAGTTTCGGTACTGACAAGCAGAAATAGGAAGTAATTATACATTTATATCTATACATATTTCCATTAATTAGTTTTGTTATCCCATATCTAAATGAATAAAGGTTTCTTCGTCTAAGTTGCGTCCTGAAACTTTTGATTCATTGTGATGAAACTTTCCGAGTTTTAGGACGACACTAAAAGCTCGATATTATAAGAATAAAATGTATATGAAGGTTATTTATGTTTTTAATTTATTTTCAAGCTACAATAAACGTTCTTAAAATGTTTTTTTTTTTTAATATAATAATAGCAATGGACGCTATACTTTAATAATTTTAAAACTATCCGTTAGCGCTTCTAACTTATAATCATAAAATTATAATATAGCACCAGGAAATAAATCTGTTTCATTTTTTTCTGATTGTACATATATGTATATTTAAATATAGCCCTAGAAAATAGTTAAGGAAAATGCAATCAATGGTATGACCGAAAAAAGTATTTAATATCAACGTGTTTGTTTAATGTAAGGAAATACACAATATTAAAATCAATTATATAAAGAAATGAACATATTGCATCCTCAACGTTTAATTTATAACAAGTGTAGGTTGAAACATCGTATATGCGAGGCGCATTCTGCTGGGATCGATCTAAAATGACCTGCACGGTACACCCGCTCCCCGTTCCTCGTCACCCGAATGCGTGCTGTATCGACCAATCATAATCTAGCGTCTACGTCAGTCTTCAGCTGACGCTGGCTCCCGATGGCCAAAGCTTTTTGAGTTATAACAAATTTCGACACCAATCATAACAATGACAGATAGATTCTCAGAATCACAGATGTTGCGTCTCGTAGAAGTATATCGAGATTACGAGTGCTTATGGAATATGTGGAGTGATCTGTATAAGAATAGGGAGGCACGGCAGATCGCGTACATGGAAATATATAGGCGCCTCAATATTCCTGGCCTCGAACTAAAAGACATACCAAAGAAAATTAAAAATTTAAGATCCTCATACTGTCAAGAATTAAAAAGGATGGAAAATAGTATCCGGCAAGGAAATACTGGAGAATCTCTTTATGAACCAAGAGTTTCCTGGTTTTCCCTTGCAGAAAGTTATTTAAAGCCATTCATAAAGAGACATGAATTAATCGCGCCTGTAAGTAAAGTATTTTTCAGACGTGCCTTATATTTTTTAAAAAAAAAACACTATAACTTTTAATAAGCTATGATCACTTATTTCAGTTTGCATTATTTGTTAAAAGCAATCACTGTAAAAAACAAGCTATAACTTTTAAAGTTTGTACTTTTATTTTGTGGTTTATATTCTGTGGTTGATTAATTCTTTTACATTATAGGATCCATCAGTAATTCCAGCAGGAGAGATGACCTCATATGGTCACAGCCAGGTTGGAAATTATAAGCTCTTTTTTTAAAGTCTTAAGTCGCTATGTTGCTGTTACTTAAATAATAATTATATTTTTTTAGACGAATGTTAATTATGGTAGTAAAGAAGAATTACTTGCGGAGAGTTTGAGAAGAAAAGAGATAAAACGCGAAGATGAATCAGAAGAAGAATCTTTCAATGAAGAAAATACTAAGAATATCAAAAGATGCAGTTATGAAAACACACAAACATTTAAGAATAACGGAATTTCTTCAGGCTTTTCACTTAGCAAGAACGAACACAATATCAGTCAAGTCTTAGCCAAAATTGAAAAAATTGCTAACAATATCACAAAATGTGCTGAAACCTTTAGCAAAACTAAAGAAGACGAGTTTGACATCTTCGGTCGCTATATAGCTAAGACTCTACGTTCTTTGCCAAAGGAATTATCAATTGCTGCAAAATTAGCAATTCAAAAATCTGTATCAGATATACAAATAAAGGCAGTTAGAAAAGAAAAAATTAGATCAGAATCATATGGTTTTTCAACTACAACAGAAACGGATGAATTGAAATAATTTGATTTTCACTAAATAAAATTTATAAATTAATTATAATTCACTAAATATAAAATATATTTTAGAAAAAAAATAATAGTTGACTTATAAACTGTTAAGTCGCACCTAATAGCTATTACTGTCCTAACATATTCTTAAACCATTTTCGTAAATGAAAACGAAACTTAGTTTCATGAAATATTTCATTATATGTACGTTTTACATTAAAACTGTCTAAAATATATGTTATGTACTTCTTATTCCATAAAACAAATTTTATACCGAAAACATACGACGTCTTACTTCATACATCATACGTCAAAATGTACCTTCATATCTTAAGTAAACTAAGATTTTCTATTTCTTTTTTATAAGGGTTTACGTAAATATGTCTTCTTCCTGGAGCATTAAAAATTCAGTTCTCCAAGAAGAACACTTGAGGCTGACGAGCTCTTGACCGGGATTCCAATTTTATTTATTCCTCTAAGATATATTCTTATGTCTAAGATCATATTTAGAATTAATAAGGACTGCATTCAGAAACGTAAGCTTTTTAATTAATTGAAATATTTCAGTTTAATGAAAGTAATGTTTACCTTGCGTTATATATATTAAAGGAACTATGTATATCTTCATAATGAAATAATTTAGAAATTTAATTAGTAGTTGAAAGTAAAAATTACCTTAATGGAACCTAAATAAAAATTTTATTATACAAAGTTTTTAATTATAATATTGAAGAAAAATTTTACAAGCATTTTGTTTTAAGCTAAAATTCAAGACTTAAAACAGTATATTATTTGCTTTAATTTCGTTGGTTCTCTTCACTAGCAAAAGCGAAACAAAGAATATAGATATATAAGAATCGAGATAATTAATTATATATAATAATCTTCATGCCATAGTTACTGTCTAAAGATAGCCTTTAGTCATTGGTATTTTTTTTATCATGTAATTAAATCACAATTGGTTTAATTTATTTTTAAAACATTGATTGCAAATTTATCAATAAGTCATTCAAAATATTAGTTTGAATATATACATATATATTGACCCGTATAATATACAACTGCATAGTCTAAAAAATATTCAAATTGCAAAGCGTAAATTGATATTACATATAAAATATTGTTGCTACATTTTAAGTATAAATATACTTTAAATTAATTATCCAAAAAAAAAAACGAAGTAAAAACATATAAGTAATAATAAAAATAATGACGTCCCATATACCATCGGTACCAAACGCAGGCTCAGTAGTTTTCTTAAAAGATATGACATTACAATAATTGACTTCTTATATACAAGGAACTTATGCTTAATGTGTTTAGAATGTAACCTCGTTTTACAAATCAGAAGGCAACAAGGAAACATTAAGTGTTTCGTTAAGGTAAGGTTTGTTTAATCGTCTTTAGATTAGTCTAAAAATTATTATAAAGAGTTAAATAAATTATTTTATTAATTTTAAAGTTTCATTCCTATCTTGTTATAACTACAAATTTACTAATGAAAAATTAGGAAACGAAACTACCCAGCATTCCATGGATTCACTGTACGTGAACCGGATCCATCGCGTTGCAAGGAGAGGAGCTTAAACAGTGCCTGGGACTTGCGACCCAGGTGTAGGTTTAAGAGACGTGTAGATTTAAGCCTATCCAACGCGTGTTAAACGTTCACCTTCACTGTCCAAGCTCCTCCTCTCTCTACTTAACCAAAACGAACCTACTAGGGCTGAGATCGAAGTAGGTTCTAAGAATAAATTGATGTTAATTCGGGAGGCCTCACATATTTTAATCAAATTACAGATCGTTTTTAGGCATTTCTACGTGAAAACAAGTTGGTAATATTTTTTTCATTGATTTTATAATCGTTTTAAAAACTAATAATTTGAGTATTTAAGGATGACAAACATACATAACGTAGGTTATTAAATAATAATTCAAAGATGCGCTCACAAAAAAATGTTTCGAATTTTGCAATGTAGAGAATTTCATAATGAAAAAAAGTTTCATACATTACAGGTATAGTTTTTTATATAAAAGTTTCGGATTGAAAAAAATCGTTAATTAGAGATTTCACCTGGTTTTTGTTAGTTAAAAATCCCTAAAAAAGAGATTGTTCGCAATAAATATTCGATACATAAAGGTATGTTTTACAAGAACTCTTCTGGACATTTCAATGGGATTACAAAAATTTATTAAAACGAAAAAACCTTTTTGAGGTTTTAAGTAATAAATTTGAACTGCATACAAATTAAGGGTTTTAAATATTACATCTAAACGTAAATTATATTATCTGTCCATCTCTTAAAATATTTGCGTGGAATCCATTAAATAAATCTAATTTTGCTTCAACTTTAACTCAGTACATTTCAAAGAAATGTAGCGTTAAATGCTAACTAAAATAAGTCGTAAATAGTTAAGATGGACACCAACTGACAAGTTTCTGACTTAGTTTCAGTAGAAATGTCTCTCAAGTAATCTTTGCAAACTAACGAGATCCCTTGAGTTCATTTTAGATAGCAGCTGATAAAACTATGTATACTGTGATTATTGGATGACGGCTGTTCCAGTTCTAAGCCTTACTTCAAACCCGTGCCAAATATAGGAGTTACCAGATTATATATTAATGTAAGCAAATTATTTCTCTTTGCAATCATAAATGCAAATTTTTTGCTATGTATGATATTAACTTTGGCGAATAATATCGTTTCAAAACATGTATAGGGCTTAGATTAAATGGAATAATAATAATTTTTCTGTTCTTGATTTTTTGTCATATCGTACATGAATGACAATACCTAATTGACGTAAAATGTTTTCATTAAAAATTATACAATAAAATACCGACTTAGGATTTTTACAACATAATTATGTTTTTAAAATGTTATCTGCTTAGTTAAATATAATTCACTTATTATAACCATAAAACAATTAAGGTTTACAATATTTGTATATATGAAAATGAGGCAGGTTATCGCTGTGGGGTGAATATTAAATACTGTTTTAATGTTATTTATGGGACTTATGAAATTGTTATAAGTAAGAAATGTAATAACCGTTTCATAACCGTAAAATAAATATAACAAAAAATGGTTAAACACAAAAAGTTCAAAGTGAAAATATACAGGAGAATATTTTTAGATCAGATCGAAAGAATATTAAAACTGTTTATTTAGGAGACAAACAAAAATTTACAACTTTTTGATATCGATAGTTATAGTTCTAAATAATTCTGTATATTTCGTTCTATAAATACGTCAATTCACAATTGTATTTTACGTAAGGTGAATAAACTAGAAACATTAAAACTGATGTATTGGGATGACAGTAAGGAATGTCGTATCAACGGCTGTTTTGGCGCTACTCCAATACCTAAATATTTTACATTTACACTCTCTATATGAAACTTTAAGAGGGTTAAATTCGTGGCTAGGAATTCAACTTAGTTAGATGTAACCATTTTTATTGTTGCGTAATAAAATCGTTGGTGATTAGTAATTTATAATGCGCGACAGTGTTCCGATGTTGTTATGCTTATATTTAGTCACGTTAATAATAAGCTTTCAACTAATAAAGGATTATGATGCATGCTGTACTATGTTTTCATAAGGCTGTTACAAACAACGTCAAATTCCCTACACGCTTTAATACCGTGATAACGAACGTTGTGATCACATTATATTAATTTATAATGAAAAACGTTATTCGGTAAAACTTAATGGATATACATAGTAAATATTATGTACCTTTTTTAACACATATAAATTTGTATTGGCGATAGTCCATGGTCATCGGACATTAAAAGTTAATGTTTTTGAACTCAAGAACAGCCGATTGTTTATTTTCCTATTTATTTAACATATATTTTGACTTTGAGTGCATATTAATTTCATACATTTTAGTAAAATTATGACTAAAAAAGTCTATCCTACGTATTCTAAAATTTATCTAACAATATTTTAAATAAGAATTAATTTTATCCGAATAGAAGTTAGATAAACGTTTCAAGTTCTTTACGTTTTCATAACTATTACTAAATGATATAAATTTATTCAGAAATAAAAACTATACTGAAACATGAAAAAACTATAATTCATTCAGAAAAGAGATATTTTTTTTATTTTTCTTGTGCCATAAAACAATATTAAGAATAACCTTTGAGCATACTAAAACTGATAACAAATTTAAGCTATGTTATTTTATAAGAGGCATTCATTGAAATAGTAAAAAATTATTTTAATATTTATGATAACATTTCTGTATGAGATTGTTTTTCTGTCGAATAATATAATTTGTGTTATGTTCATGTGTACGTTTATGTACGTGCACACTCTTTTCTATTATAATAGGTACTGAGTGAAGCTTTTCTATAGCGTTTTTGAGTGTTGCATCCGAACAAATCAATGCTATTTATATTTTGTTTTAGCACAACAATTTTTGATTTTCGATAACAGTTTCATTTAAGTTTGATTAATTTGTCTTATTGGATGCTAATATCAGATAATATAATTATTCTGAAATTCCCAAACATCACATTTCATCTTACGAATGCTTGTAATATACGTCCGCGTTAATGCAATGATTATACAAATCCGTCGAAAATTTCATACATTTCATATAAGATTCAATATTTTCGACAGAATTCTATCAATTAGTTTACTCGTGAACGTGGTTTGGCTGTTTGCCAACATCTGGAAAATACCGCTGCTTGCCTCGCCTCATTCTTCATTAATTGGTTTACTTCTTAGGAGCAATAAAATGTTGAAACCAGAACAATAACTAACTTTGAACTAAAAATTTGAAAGACCACTTCGTTATTTATATATAGATACATACACATGCTTGATCATTATTGGCTCTGTGGCTTCGAAGATATAATATTATAACCATATTTCATTTCTATTCAAATCTTTTTGTTACAGATATATTGAAATTAAATATTTCTTTATATCATTTCAATAAATAATTGAAAATTATTGTAATAGTCGTTCAATTTAATGCTCGAGGAATCAATTCCAG